TTGACATCAATACACATTAGTGAAAATAAAATGTGAATAGCTTAGAAAAAATGACTAAACAGAAATGATTTATTCGTACAAACAAAATTTAATATCTAATGTATTATTCATTAGTTCCAATGCGTAAGTAAATTAGCCAGTTGTTAAACAAGTCACAATTCATAGAATGTAAATTGATGTGTAGTGTTTTCGGGGAAAACAAAAGCGATAATCGACGGTTACGTACAGACAGTTATCTTTCTTTGTCTTGTCAAAAAGCATTTATTCCCATTTATATGGTGAACTAAATTCAGTGAAACGTTATAAATGATTATGCTTTTGTAATATTTCATTCGAACAACAATTATGTCATGTATATATATATATATATATATATATATATATATATATATATATATATATATATTTGTACCAACAGAACAGATAGGTAGTGGATGACGTTGACAGACGTAAATCGAAATGATATATGAATATATTACTTTTCATGTGATTTGTTCACGGTCAGAATGCTATTCAGACATATGTAATTTGAACTGAGCAATATTTAACATTTTATTCCATTGAGTGTTGTTTAAAATCAAGTTGTTTGATTAATAAAATTGCGAATACACAGATGAATGTTGTTGATTTTTTTCGATAAAGTAATTTTAATGTGAATATTATTTGTGTGTTATTCATTGACAGCGAGATCCAATTAGTTTTCAGGAAGCATTGCTTAGCATTTAACATCATTCATGTGACAAAAAAGAGTCGAAAGATTTTCTTCATTCATAATCGTTTTCTACCAACAGATCTAATATACAATAAACATACTGTACACTCATAACGCTATGTTATAGCGAAATATATTCAGGATTTTTTAGCTGAGAAATCAGTGATGATTTCGCTACATACATAAATCAATTGTCCTTGATTACAAGATGCTAATCATTGGCTTTTCCCACTAGATCTGTTAGGATGAATAACTTTGTTGATAGTAGTATTTGGAAAAAGAAATTAAGCCGATGCTACTTGTCTTCTTGTTATATGTCATTTATTTTTCTTCATAATCCGATAACACATTCATGAAGCGTACACCTATTTTATTACAATTAGCTTTATTCGTGCCACACTGATAGAAATAAGTAAGGATATATATGAAAGATATTTTACCGACTAAGTTGAATTGACTAGAACATAACATTGATTCAACAATAAGGAATAGTATGTGAATATTAACACACTAGAAAACTTCGAATTCAGTGGTTTACAGCTGGAAAACTAAATGATAGGAAATTCATTCACATTCCGTTTTATAATCAATGATTATCAGTTTCTGGTTACTTAAAGTACACTTGCGATTAGATGTATATGTATATATATATATATATATATATATATATATATATATATATATATATATATGATAGGTATTTTGTTGAATTTCATATATATTGAGGAAGTATACGTGTATGCCGAAAGCATTAATAAAAGTGGTTATAGTCTATAGAATTAAAATATACTACTACTTTCAAGTCGATTCCACATTTTTTTTACATCGAATCAAATTGTCAAACGGGAATTAAATATCTTCATTTGTTGACGTGAACAAAAGCACAATGGTTTGATTAAGTTGGTGGAATACACACGTTCTAGACGTTATTTCTGGTGACACTTATGCTTGAAGATGTTTGATCAAATTTTTTTTTTGTAGAGACAAGTAGTTCAAAAAAGAGATTTAATTAAGGAGAACACTGTTTTGTTATGCACAATTGAGTACAAAAAATAGTTATGCATTACTGTATGAAATTAACTAACGGAAATGAAATAAATTAAAATATCATTTACGTACTTATTAGCATACCATTAAGGACAATAATTCAATCACATGAATCTCGTTCATTCTATTAATCATTAATTAAATTAAAGCGTTTTCAATTTAGATCTACATCGAAATTCGAAAAAAACAAAATGCTGATCTGAAAATGTTTGATTTTCTCGTTGATGAATTAATTGTACAACCAACCGATTCGCTTGAGCAAGAGTATTTTCTCTAAGAGAACGGAGAAAATATATTGACAATATGACTGATATTTAGTCAAACCAATAGTGGAAAAATTAAATTTGTATTCAGAGGAAATTCAATACGTCATCTTATATTTATGTTAATTCGTTTAGTGCTTTATCGATAATATGTAGGATAAGTCATTTGAATCTTTCAACTCATTGGTTTAGTTCAATTCAATACGCCATCTTATATTTATGTTAACTCGTTTAGTGTTTTATCGATAATATGTTGGATAAGTCATTTGAATCTTTTAACTCATTGGTTTAGTTCAATAGCTGTTGGATTTATTTCATGATGGTTGATGTTTGATAGTTATCAGTTACCGTCATCGGAATGTAAACAACACAATTAAGTATGGATTTGGAATACAGTTTATCGGAAAGCATTTCAATGGTCTAATTAATCCAGATTGTCAGTCACTACTTGTTTAGTGAGCATGAGAATATCGATAAGTGTTTGTGATTCCCTATTGTTGATGTCTAGTTGAAGAATGCGAAAAATGGGATGAAATATTGTTCCTGAATTCTTCCGCTCACCTCAAGACAGGTATATTTAAGTAACAAATTTTTAATGGTATAAGCAGGAAAAGAATAAGTGTATAATTACAGATAAATGAAATTTTTATCAGTGCCTTTGGAATGACAAGAACATGATGAATACGAATGTCATTGTTGCTCATCACTGGACATGTAGTATTTATAGATGTTGGCCAACCTCATTGGAATTGATCAATGTTGTTGACTTGTTTCAAAAATATTTGACTCGTCTGTTATATATTCAACTACACCATAACGTTTTATTTATTTATTAAATTATCTAAAATTGGATTTGAAGAGGAATCCATGGTTTTGCAAGTGTTTCCTATCATGGTGTGTTTTTTATCATTAGCGTTTTTAGTTAATGATGGCAAAGTTCTATTCACTTTATCATTTTTTGATGATTAGCAGTAAAGTACTCAGTGCATGGATGGTTTCAATGATAAACGGAGCGTTTTATATGTAGAAGAACCTTTTCGACCAGTTATTTGACTCTATTTATTCCGACAACTGTGGTCAGTATACTTGTTCTAACTGTAATTAATTCCTTTTGTGTGCGAATAAGAATGGTTTAGAAATAAATGTCGTTCAAATTTAAATATATTTTTACCCGAATTTCTACATTAACAATGATAATGAAATTTTACATCTTATCGCTTTTCCTCAATGGTGTTTCTCAGTCCCTGTTTTTTTATGGTTTTCAAGTGCCAGCAATTCTTTTAAAATTATTTCATGATAGCTAAAATCCTAATTGTTTTGATATAAATTCGAATGTATCTTTTGGTACATACAATTTATGGTTTGTTTATCTGTACAATATTTTAATAAATTCTGATGTCATTTTAAATGAGTTTGTTTCAGGACATTATATACTTATGGATAAATAATTGGTTTATCCTTGTCTACCCTTTCTGATGTGTACCTGGAATGGTTTAATTGTTTTACACACATCATAGTTGAACTTTTTTGATTGCATCTTCGTACCATTACTATTACTCATAGAATCATTTAAATGATTCATTTATTTGTACATGATTTCACTATCACGGAACGATGGTTTGTGTGATCTATGAAACCTAACTTGGTAAGACTGTAGTGTAGGAGAACACAGGTGAGGGCAACCGAATTGTATTTATCGCAAATTACAGAGTTAATTGGTAAAATAGGAAAACCATATCGTAAACCGTTAATTTGCAAAACATCAATCCCTTGTCTGACATTTCACTGTTCATGCGTTTCATACAAATTCCATTGTGTTCCCACTCTTCCTTTCTTGATCTTCCCCCATCTTCTGCTGCCAGACATTACGTTTTCACTCGCGTGATATACTACTTATAAGCAGCGCGCACCACAAGACGACTGTTGAAAATTAGGAAACTTTTAACAGCTTTTTTTTCCTATATGGACCTTTTAATCAGTCTTCATCCACCACTCTGAAATCACACTCATTATCTTCAAGCCGTAACTTGGGAATCACTAGATTGGCAGTCATTAGTTAATATACCCTATGTCGGTCAGTTAGTCATACTGAGAAATCATCTTTTGATGCTAATAAAAGGCAACTGCCTCGCCAAAAAAGAAATTTGATCTCTCTGACAACAAGTTACACAACTGTCATTTTCCAGTTCTCACTACTGATAAAGTGTGGTGATTATGCTTGTTACTACATTCATAATTTAAAAATTTCGATACTAACATTTTTGTGAATGGCTTTTCGGTAATGGTAAAGCAGGGAGAAAATCCATGTTTTCTAAGTATTCATATTACACAGCGTCATATTTAAAATAATTAAAACAATTAAAAACTAATTAAAATAATTTGATTATTAAAAAACAATTAAAACGACTAAATATTAAAACAATTAAATAAAATCATTGAATGACCAAACAACCGGAATATATTTCGAGGATGGTAATATTCTTTTTAACGAAACCATTTACTATGGCTGTAATCTGGTGCTTATATATTATTTTTTTTTCGATTTATGATTCCTAATAGAAGGGGTATTATTTCTTCTTCAAAAGGGGAACATAACATTACGGAAAACGATAAGAAGTCACAGTACTTAGACGATATTGTAGATCATATGAAACTAATTGAAGGCAAATACTCAATCCTTTTTCTTACAAAATAGCTTGAGTTTTAAGGGGAATAGTAGAATTCAAATAAACATACGGGTGATGTTTTATCAGTTTTTCACTATTTAATTATACTTTAGAGATGTGAGTTACGACTTTTTGAGCAGGTTTTCATTACAGCTTGTTCTATTTTTCTATCGTTATTTGTTAGTATCCTATAGTCAGTAAGAGTTTGCCAAACACTGAATGTGTTTAAATAGTTAATAATATGGCAGGCATTTCGACAGTTATATTTCAATTTCCCTATACTAACTAACTGTCTACTTTTATAATCATTAGGAAACTATCCACTTAAATTTGAAGAAAACTCACCAATCGATCTAGAAGCAGTATTTCTTTCAGTTTTACCTGGTCTTCAATCTAATAAATGTTTTGAATGTGGATGCATATTGGATTCTCACAGTGGATATGAACTTAAAACAAATGATAAACTGAATGAAAATAATAATAACAACTCATCCAGTAACAATCTCAAATCAATGAAACGTCAGAAATCACACAAAGAAGTGTTTTCACACTTACGACGTGTTCGATCTCATCATCAATTCAATCAAGTCGATAGTGTTCCTCAAGCCACAACTATGCGTATTTGTCATTTGACAGGGAAATATTATTGTGAACGTTGTCACTTTGATGATACTTGGTATGTACCAGGTTCAATATTCCTCCTAAACGATACGTCTAAGCAACCAGTAAGTTTGTTTTTATTTGATTATTATAGATTTCTACACATGTTTACCGAATTAAAGAATTAAGCTATGTAACAGATAACAGAAACATCTATCCATTTCTAATGTAAGAGTGGTATTGGATACTTTACTGGTCACTTTAACGGGAAATAAATTTAAAAGTTCACTTAATCAAACCAATTTGTGGTTTTTATTCTAGAACTACTTTAGTTATAAACTGTTGATTTAAGGAATGCATTTAACACCCATATCTACCTAGGTTCTGACTCGTCAGAAGTGCTTGCCTACCAAGGATGGAACTCAGAAAATTCAGAAGTAATGACAGAGACGTTCACTTTATGTCACAGAGTTAGCATTCTTGTTTTATAAACCTAACTTCAATCGATTCGTAATAGTGAGTGAGTATGTCACATGTTGCTGTCGATGATACTTGTCTCAGTTTAGATTTGGTAGGATTCAATCAGTCACGAAATATTACTGGAATGCCAGATAGTCTTTTCGTAGTTTGTCAATAGTCGAAGTGTAATTGTTATTAGTATTATTATTACTAGCAGACAATATTTAGAGATGAATATGATTTCAGTGTACTTAGCCTGACTTGATAGCATATTTAGAATATTTTCAGAACAATCGCTTTAATTTCTACAAGCTGTCATCCTACAAACAAACAAAATATTCATCTTTGATTCAAGGAATCTAAAGTATTTATTCATTTTCCCCGAACAGCTATGTCGTTCAGTCTACATTAAATTGCGTGTTATGTGGGATTCTTTGGTGTTAAGAGTTCCAGCCTATTGGCACCGGGATAATCTTGAAGCTGAGAAGGTCTGTGAGGTCCGCACTAAATTACAGCCTCTTTTACGCTACGCAATGCTGTGTCCAGAAGCTTCTTCAATAAAAGCTAGTGCTGAAGTGAGTTTTTGTTACTGATCGAATTTGTACATGTTATCTGTTTACTGCATAGGAAAAATCATCTCTGTTTTTAAACAGTCAAACTGGTTAGAACTGTAATCGTTCTCTTTCAATATATAGACTAACTTGTCAACTTCAGAGTCATAAGTAATTCATATCGTTTTGGAAAGATATAATTTATCGCCTTATTAAATAAAATTAAGATCTAAAAAGTATATTGCTGATATACAATGCATACCATACAGTTTTAGCAGTGTATAAAGTATAAAAAGAATTGTTTGAGAGAATAAGTAATAAAGATAAGTAATTTTTTATCTCGTCAAACTTATTGCATGAGGCCATACTATTGAAACTGAAACTAGGCAACGTTTTTTCTTTACTAAAAGTCATATATTCTCATAAAGTTCTTCACTGGTGAACTTAATAAGCAGTACGTATCTATTTGATTTATATATCACAACATGCATCATCACGTTTTGTCATTCCATTAACAAAATGAATGATTTAGTCTTTTTTATCAATTTTTTTCTATAACGAAAACGTTTTTCACAAAAGCAATAAGTTAATAAATGTATATATTATTATTAGTTTGATTATGAAAATTCTGAAAACTTTCATTTGAACATACATCAATAGTTTTTGCTAATTGAAGAATGGCAAAAATTTATTCAATCAATGTCAAAAGAGCAATGAAATTGTCCATTATATTTTCTTCATCAGTTAATGAGCAAAAAACAAAATCGTTTTTCTGTTTTATTTTCATGCAGCTTGCTGGACCAAGCTATTTATTGGGTAATCCTGAATATTTTCGAATGTGTGATATCCTTGATGTATTGAATGGAACACTTTATTTGAAGTTAAACGAATATTTGAAAATTTGGTCTGAGCATAAAGCACACTGTGAAGTGAGTTCTTTATTTTTATGCAATATGTACACTTGTGTTAATTACACTGTTGAGATTTCATATATTCGCTTGAATTACTGAATTCTCTCTCAAAGTAGATTCTAAATTATTTTTTATTGAATATCTGTCATTTTTGTTTTTCAACGAGTTAACACTAGAATTTTTTTAATGGCTTTTATCAAACTGAATACTATTTCATATTTGTCAAGTGACATTTGAAAAATTTATCATTACCTTAGTTGTTTGTTATAAGATGACAAACATGTGATTTGATTATGTTTAGTTTTGACATGCAATAATGAATGGTGTGATAATATTATTCTAAACATTTAACTTTTTTTCGAATGGATTGACATTTTACAGTTTTCCCAATCGGATAAAATAGTCATTCTACCTTACTTCAAACTACATCTCAGACTATATTCATTGACATAAATGTTCTTTTTTATTTTTAAGTTCTTACTAATCGTGGCACGTGAATGATGTTACATTGGTTATATTAAATAAGCTTTTTTTTAAATTGACTATAACTGGCAGTCATTGTGGTCAAAGCATGTACATGAATATAAATTGATAGCATTTCAAAAGATTCAATTTAAAATGAGGTTGTCATGTTTACGAAAAAAGATCAATTATTTTCTTTTCATTCTTGGTAACATAAAACAGGTTCATTAAAGTAACAGATTTAACTATCTGAATACACTGAACGTTTACATTTTATCAGTAATTGCATAGACGTTATGTAAAGTGTCAGTCAGCAAGTGGAAAATCAGTTCGTGATTCAACAAACCAACAAACGGTGTTATTCTCATTTGGAAGAGAAGTTAATTCACACAAGGATTATGTAAGCATTAATACTAGATTTAAAAATATCTGAATGAAATTTTATCATTTTTAATCGATAAAATGTTTAACTACAAATTGAGTAAATAGTGATTTATTTACTAATGAAGTTAATTATAACTCATCATACCATGTTACGTTGAACTAACTTGTTTTTAAAATCTAATTTTATGAACATGTAATTGACAAATAAAACTACACAATAGATTGTTAAATATTTATTCTTTCCAAAAAAGCATATTAATAGTTGGATGTTAGAATAAAAACAAAATGAGCAAATAAATAGATGCTTATAACTTGTCTTACTTATTATTAATCTGTATTACATTCAGTCGATAAATTAATGTCATATAAATTCAATTAAGCAAAATATTACTGTACTGTTTAATGAATAAACAGAAACTGTACTTTTTATTATGTTCCGCTTTGAGTATCCTTGTAAAGTTATTCTGTTTTTATGCTATTTGATTTTATTATTTCTAAGTATACTTGTTAAACTGTTATACTAGAATTATCAAAAATAAACTATATTTCTAATCACTGGTATTGCCAGTTCTAGAGCTTCCCATATCTAATTTACTTATTTATATTCGGTACATCTATTGAATCAATATCAATCGATATAAGTAGGAATGATTTTGGACTGCTTCAATGATTGAACTGCACTGTTCTCATTTGAAGAACTGAATATCCGTATGTTGCTCTCATATAAGGTTGTAGTTGTATACTAACAAGTTATATATTTATTCAGTTTCGAATGATCTTCCATTTATCACTTGTCCACATTGATTATTTACGCCTCAAGTATAGTTATGTATTATTCTGCAATCTATGAAAGTGTTATCACCAACTTCAGACTCTTATAAATCTAAAAAGTGTCCCTTTCAAGAACTAATTAAAAAAATTGAACGAAATTGAAGTGACACATTGGCTTATTCTCAGATTTTGATGATTTCGTTATCAGTGTGGTTGTTTTCACTTTCTCTGAAATATGTGGTGAACAGTCACTGATAGAATGTAAATTATGGAAACAAGTGGGTTTCAAACAGGTTGAATGTAAGACAGTTATTCATCCAGATGAGATAGTGTAGTAGGTACTTATAGATTGAGCTCATATGGCTTGTCGTAGCCTTTAGACAAACTAATTAATCCATATTTCTCAGTTGTTATTCACACGTCTTTTGAGACTGTCAATTACTCGCTTATAATCTTGGTTGATTTAACTTGAGTGCGTGCGTGTATTATTTACTTCGCTAATCACATGTTTAACTTATTTTCGTCTGAATGCCAAGCGATATAAGTCAAACCATATGTACAGCAGTAAATCACACGATTCCGTAATTTGTTTCTAAAGAGTTATAGAAGTTCTTAGTCACATATTAATTTACAATGTCCTATATTTTCTGTGCACAAACTCATTTTGAAGTGTTCAAAATGAATACTTAACAGTTTCATCCTTTAGATTTTGAACTACTTGTTAGTAGCACAAATTTTACTAGTAATTTTAATTTATGCTACCATTTTAAAAATTCGGGCGAAATTGTTTGTGAATCACCACACCATTTCTCAATACCATCATGATAAATGTGGCCTACTTTATGGCAGAAAGCTTAAATACAGTGGCTCATGTATGACTTGAAGTAAATTACTGAGCTTTAGTTATAATTTTATTTATATATTTCTGTTACCACTCGTGGAACATAGGCCTTCGAACACGATTCGCCAAACTACTCTGTTCTTGACTCTCCTTTCCAGCTGGTGTCACGTACTGTTTTATTCTTTTGATGTCTGCATACAGTTTTGAACGCGATATGCTCCTTAGTCTTCTTATCCACTTCCTGTCTCGATGAAAAAGAAAGTGTGAGAGTAAGCAATCGTACATGACACCGGTCTTCACTTGCAATAAATCTGAAAACTGTGCACCATAAAATATTGTGTAGTGTAGTCCGTCAAAATAACTCCCTATGATGTTGAATATGTTCTCAGTTGTGCCACTATTAAAGAAGGCTCTACAACATTCTTCTGTCCAAGTCGTCAAAAGCTTGCTCGCAGTCAAGAAAGTGGATGCAGAGTGATGAGCTCCAGTTAAATCATTGTTCTTTAATGATCTCTGTGGTGGGTATATGACCGGTCTTTGCGGAATCCGGAGTGTGGATTTAAACGTTGAGCTTCTACTGAATCTTTCATTTGGTTTAACATCACTGTTTAGGAATTTCGCTGGTATGGAGAGAGAACCGATGCATCTGCAGTTCATACACTTACTGAAATCTCCTTTCTTTAGTGTCTTGATGATGTGTCCTTCTTTTCAATCTCTTAGTATTGTTCTTACTCCCAAATCTTGGTGAGGTGAGCTTGGACCATCTTTTAAGTTACTCCAGTATCTCCTTTCAATGCCTCTGCAGGTATGTCGTCTGGTTCCGCAGCTTTGTCCTTCTTGGTTTTCGTAATGGCCTTGCTGATTTCTTCGGTTATTATTGAGTTAATATTGACGGGAACGTGCGTACATGCCGCTTCGATGTTCTTCAGTGTCGGTGACTGGTTCGCCTTCTTTGTTCTTGAATAGCCGTTGGGGTTTTCCATATTTTACAGCTCTGTTATTCGTTGTATCGCATGGTTGTCTCAGAATTATTGCTCTTATAGCTTTCTCCGTTGTCGCTGCTACATGTGTCACATATTTCCGTTTATCAGCTTCACTGCTTCTCTTCACTTGCTTGTTTATTTCTGTATATTCTGTCTGGGTCTTGGTTTTCGCTTCCATCGTTCTGCTGATATTGATTGCTGCCATCCTGCTCATCCTCTCTTGAATCTCATATGGTGCATCAACAGTGATCGATTCCCTTGAGCGATGCTTCTTATGATCCAAGAGCTTCTGATATGTTAAATCATTTACTTATTTAATCCCTTTCCAGTTGTTCGCCATAATAGTTTCTTCTTCTTTGAGTAGATTTGAAAGACTTGAAATTTGTTGGTGACAGTAATCTTGAGTTGATTGGATTGGTGAGTATAGTGAAGAGAGTTCGTGTTAAACTTTTGTGACGTTTTCCACCGAGTGTTTCAGTGCTTGTTGGGCCACAGCAGGTGGTGGTTGAAGTTGTATCAGCTCCTCTCTCTATTCTTATATTTTGTGTGGTTCTTGTGGACTTTTGATTGAGATAGATGTGATGGACTTGATTCTCAGTGGTGTAATCCAGTGAAACGTATGTAGCTTTGTGTATGTGTTTGTGGGTGGTGATTGTCTCCTCAAATCTGTTAGTTGGAGGTGCATAGAACTGAGAACCTATCACACTTTTTATTCTTTTTTTGCAGTTCATGTCGTCCCATGATATCTTGATATCCAGTGTTATCTATTCCAACTTTGTAGTTTAAGCCCCCCTAATCAGAAAGGCCATGTCCTTTTGTCGATGTTTCTCTACAATTGACAAAACTCTCTCATAAAACTAATCTTCATTGTCTTCATCGCCACTGCTAATCAACTCATTGAGATGGATGATGTTCGTTTGTCTTGAAGAATGCTTTGATGATCATGAGTATATGAGATTTTTATCCTCAGTGGATTTTGTGCTTCTTTGGACACAATCAGTGCAAATCTTTTTATACGATGCATTTTCTTCATGCTAGGAGCTAAACACCATCTCTCGTGAAGCTAATCTCGTTGTCAAGTCTTCGTCCAACGTGTTTCGCTTATTATAATTACCACCAAGTTGTAGCATTTGATTTCTTCAACAGCCTGAATTGTTCTTCCGGTCTCTCACATTTTGCGAACATTCCATGTATCAGTTTGTCAGAAGAGATATTCACGTCGCGGGGCGACTGAAAAAACTCAACTTTCATCAAAAGGAGTCATGAGTCTAGACGGAGTTCTAAAGACTATAAGCATTAATAATTTTTAGAAGGAATGTAAAATCTAATCAGATGCTTTACAAAAAGGGAAAGAAGACGGCAAACAATTGAATAATTTGCACTTACGATCAGTGAAATTAGAATATGTTATGAAGTATAAGTAAGTTATTACTTTCAGCATTGGGTTTTTCTAGAGAAAAATTAATTTTGAACTGACGAATCCCTGTACTTTTCGCTGTACACAGATTCCGCATCTAAAATTTCTTTTGTCTAGTTCTTCTTACTCTGTATATCATTGTGAATGATATTTAGCGTGAAGGCATATAATGTGAGTTGATCAAGTGTTCGAAGATTGAGCTATTGGCTGTTATTTTTAATTTCTTTACAAAGTCATTAAACTAAAAGTTGAGTTAAATTAAACCGCTTTTTTGGGCTTTTTAAATTTTTTTACTGTAGATTTGTGGAGATACTCGAAAATCTGTTGAAAGTGACGATGCAATTTGGCTCGGAAATAAACTATCATGATAAACGTATTTCTAAACAAATTTCGTAGTGATGTTATAAAACTTTTTTTTGATTAGAAATTTATTTGTACAATTATCTGTCTTTTTATTTTTTACATCTTTATTTGCTAATACTATTTGATTGAGAAATTACTAATATTTTAATAGTAACACATTTATCTGACTTCCGCTTTTGATTTGTTTCTGTCTTCAAGTTATCTTGGTTTTTGAACATGTGATTAATTAAATTTTCAAATTTTTCGTTAGTTTAAATTGAGAAAACAATGTCGTTGATAGGTCAAACTATCATAATTTGTCAATCAAATCACTTGAAGTCAACATAGAATATAATATTTGTTTTTGAAAAAAACATGATAATCACATGAATGAACAGGCTTGTGACTTACAAATATTTAGTCGAATTGTAGATTAATTCATGCAACTAAGTGTACTCTGTAGAATATTTGTTATGAAATGAAAACGTCTCTTCATTTTGTTTTATGAAATATGTTATTATTCATAAATATATTTATCGTAAATAAACAACATATTGAAAATAAGTTGTTTAAATGAATGAACAACAGCTATTTTGAACAATCGGTTGAAATTTGCAGCTAAAAATGTGTTTAGATCTATGTTTATGAAGAAGTATTATACCTTGTAAGTAAATAAAATGTAATGACGTTATTATGTTTCACTGGAGTTTGGTTATTAGTTCGTTCAACAAATATTTGTATTTTTCAAAATTAATGATACAGCAATATGTTTCCTTTAAAAACAATTCCTATATGTAGTAGCTACGTTTCTGCTTCAAACAGATTTAAATTGCTAATAACTTCTCCAGAAAACCTTAGATATCATTCTCTTCAGCTGCCTTGTCGTTTGAAGCATCACTTTAAACAGTTCTCATTGGGAAAGCCGAACTTAACCGATAAGTTTGTTGCAGTTCAACATTATGGCTAGTTATCGGCTTAATTATGCATAAAACTATTAGTTCTTGTACCCATTTTGCATGTTTAATGAATAGAAGATGTAGTACTTGAACAATTGTCTATTTAATATATCATAAAAAATTGAACTCTGAAAATCTTTTGATCCCCGCTATCCAGTTAAATAAATTGTAATTTAGGGGAATTCATTATTTTTTAAAAAAGCAGTCAGCTTCGTTTTTATCTGCGATGAACTTTGAATCGATTGGTAGATAGAAATCGGTTAAACAAGAAATTAACACATTCGACTCTAGAATAATACTGAAAAGATTTCTCTACTTCGTACTATGATCTATACTACTGTGTGGACTGAATATTCTTATTAGACAGTCTAATCTGCAATTAGACGCAAAAAAATAACATAACTTAGTGAATTGATCATTTTAATTTAAGTTCTATATTTCCTAAATAATAATTCTTTTCAGTCAGATACCAGTTTATTATTCTCTGACACTTGTGATATTTAATGAAAGATAAAGTCATCTGAACAGCAATTGTAGTTCTGCTGCCGATTAGTGAACAATTATTACAGTTGGTTTTGTATTCTTATATCAATACACCTGATCATATCCCTATATATGAACGGTAGTGTCAATCAATGCATTTATGTGCCTTACTTGTAGAGTAGTAGTACAAATAAACCATTAGGACCAGTCACCAAACTAAAGAAAGTTATGATACTTAATATTCAAATTTTTATGTTCTCTACTTGAGTAACGTCAAACCACTGTACAAATGACAACACCGATCGTTAGACTTCCACCGTTCTAAAAATAAGAAGATAGAGGACGTTGGAGAACACTTATTAACGGAATCCAAAAATATACAATCAAACATGCGTATTTATACAATTATATATATAATCGATATTGTCGTTAAAATATTTGAACATTAGTTCATCAATCGACTGCCCTTGAAATATTTAAGCATTTAATCGATAAGTTCATCAATCGACCATATGCGTGGGTGGCTTCTCGATTGGCTATCCCAACACAAATGAAGTTTATAACTGATATATTTATCAGTATATAAGTATAGAAAACACTGCCTTTTGAGATCTTTTCTTGACATTAACGGTAAAAACCAAAACAATGTGAAGACTGCAGTAGATCTGTATTTATTCAAATATCTCTTACTTTAGAACAACAAGACAGAAACAGAAATAAATTAAAGTTACAACCGGTGAGAGAAAAATATAAACATAAATTACCAGATAATGTAAGTTAATCAATAGAAATATGCACGAAATAAACAAGGTTAACACGAAACTGATTTGACTGAATGTTGTACTATTCAATCAGGCTATCACAAACATATTTAATAATTTGATATTTATGATAGGAGGCATTGAATCAAGATTTCTGGACTAGTTGGAATTCGTCAGTAAGGTGTGTTAATTATCTACACAAAAATGATGCTTTTAATGAGAATAAAATTGAATTGATCAAGTTAGACATTAACACAGTTAGATACCGGCTCAGTGGTCCGATGGTTAGGCGTTCGCGCACAATACCGAAGGTCCCGGGTTCGAATCCTGCGATGTGCAGGAGTCGTGGATACGCACTGCTGAGGAGTCCCATGCCAGGACGAAACGGCAGTCCAGTGCTTTCAGGTTTCTAATGGTGGTCTAACATTGATCGATTCATGGTTTCAAGAATGAATAATATATGTCATACAAACAAAAGTCAGATTTGTAACCAATTAGCTATTTAGGGAATGTTAGACGTCGAATAGAATTGAAATACAACTACTAATTTGTCACTGAGTAGTAGGAATATAATTTGCATGCAGTAAGTACCGCGTGACATCCATTTAATTGTTTTTGATGGATTTTAATAAAATAATAAGTGGTAATTGATTAAACTGCCTAACTGACATATAAACATTCATTTCCTAATTCATAAACTCTGGTTAATATAAATTATAGTTGAAATTGAAAAAAACACTTTCACGAATATTCTAGCTGGTAATTTAACGGATACTAATTTAACAGATGCTAACTAATCGAATGAATACTTCAATTTATTAGAGAATAATTTCTCTATTTGTGCTTCATATGAGACAAAACGTTCTTTTGCATTACTGACATTTATTTGGAAAACAATCTTTCTGTCACACACCAGCTGAATGTCTAGTTTATGATGACTGAAGATCCCTAATGCGTACCCAGTTGTTAACAGAAAGGTTATTCATTAAGTGAGATACTTGAATGACATTAGATTTCCTTTGTGACATATTTAGTACAACCTGTTTTGAAGCACAAACTGACATAATGTCTGAAGTAATTCAAAATATTAAAAATTTACACTCAGAAATAACTTGTATATGTATATATCATTGTATGTAAGAAAAGGTAGGAATTGTCATGTTGTTGAAGTAGTTACTTGAATTTCCATTAGTCTTTGTTATCATATGTACATTCAGTAAGGATCCCCTCGATACATTCACTTTGTCTCTAGTTTTACAGAATATATAGATAGTTATGGTAATGCTGCTTTTGCCCCAATTATTTTGACCAACTTCCTATGTTGAAATATTTATCCGTGAAGTTAGTATTCTCATAACTGTTAGTAAACCTGTTATTTTATTATCATTTTGCACTGTAAGAGTACATTCGAACCACAACTATGAGAGGTGTATGTAGGTGAGCATTTATTTCAGGTGATCTCATTTTATGACTGTCGTAAATCAATAATAATAAGTTTAGATTACAAATTTATTTCTGTCATACTAAACACAATAGGTCAAACATTCACAACAAAGACTAAGAGTAGGTCGCAAGTGAAAGGTTCATACATAGTACAATCTTATCAATTATTCTGTAAGTTCACTTTACGTAGGCCTGATCTCTCGTTTTTCCAGCAAAGTTACTCTTTATCGGCTTGTAATAAAACAGAATAGATTCACCCGCATAGTATGATGAAGTTAACACTACTAAAATACTTTTCTGGAATATAACCACGACCATAAGTGTCAGTAATCAACAATTGATTGGATCCATTCAGTGTCAGTTAAACAACAGATAAAAATCGACTAACAAACATTCAGTCATACATATTTAAGAAATTTCGATTATTCATACAAAGATAAATTTTCATTTTAGTTTCAATAAAGAGGCTTGCTTAAAATACTTTACAATTATTTATTAAGGTGGGTTCTATTCTCTGTTTACTCTTCTTATCAGTGACTCAGAAATTAGCTTTCTAGTTTGATATATTTTATATATATTCACAAGCCCTACTGCATTTTGTAGTAAATCTTGCAGATATCACTGAAAGTAGTGTTATACTTGAAATCATTTATTATAATTAAAAGGTTATCGTTAAGTCAACGTTTCCGGGTAAACATTTTGAAAGGGGTTTAATATTAGTCTACTAATTCCCTTCTGTGCGCTAAACAGTGCAATTCTTTTTTTCAGGATGAGCTGTTTATTATTTCTACGAATAGCTGATTGTTAGAATGATAATAACATACATTTGTTGCAAATTTTACGCGTGTCATCCTATTTGGTACATGTTATTTAGATATACCTGCACCCAGTTTTGATGTTCACATTAGAACATGAACCCAATACCTTCCACTATCTACTATCAATAGTTTATTCACTGACCTACAGAGTACAGATAGCAATCTATTTTTCTCAATAGGTCTCAAAATTCAGTCAAGAATACCCACAACCAGATAGCTTGAGAGCTTTCTAAAAATATTTAGCTTTAGCACATATACTACTAATAAGTAACAAGATGAAAATTAGGACTTTTTTTACTGAGTCAGATGGCTGCTGCTGATCACTTGTAAGTAAAAATTATCATTCTAATAATTAGAACGTGTGAACTGTAGCAATATTAGCTGTCCATACTAGTCACTTATAATCTATTCTCTATCTTAAAACCACCAATACTGTCTCACTTCAACTTTCTAAAGTTTCGTTTTTTCTACCAGATTTTTGGCATTCGTTTATTATGCTATCATCGATTTGTCCACGAAGAAGATATAGTTTAGGTATTTACCTAAAATAATCAAAGAAATATTCCAATACATACGTTTTCTATATGAAATTAATTTCATTTTTCCCATTCAAATATCGTTCAATTTCTAGAATTTATGAGTTAATTGAAACTGTCATTCATTTACATTTTACAAACTACTATTCAGCCAAGCTAGCTTTAGGTGTATTAGTTATAGTATATTCATTCAAATCTTATTATTAACTAGTTGGTCATATGATTAAATTCGTCATACTGGTGCTTAAGAGCTGGAATATCAAACAGAACTGTTTGAAATAGATACTTAATCAGTTGGAAAATCTTATAACTGTACGATCGAAGTCCTAAATGCTTTATCAGTCACAAGACAATTGTAGTTCTTAATGTGTTTTATTCAACTTACAGAAATAATGGAAAGTATCCGCTTAAGATATTTTTATTCAAGCAAGAACTGTATATTTCTTCGAAAGTGAGAATGTGTCGATATTACCATATTGAACGTTTTCTACGAAACATTAGTTTTTAAAATTTATTGAAATATCATTTTCTCAAATTTAATTTTTGTTTACATGGTTAACAAATTTCACTAGTCAGATATACTCTAGTATGATTTCACTGATTGTCATAAGTTTTGATATCATCAATATCAACGCCTAAGGACACTTAACAGAAAAAAGAGTAACTTGTATTAAATATCTTCGTAGTAAAAACATTAAAGTCAATTAAATTAACAAATTAACCTTAAACTTAACTCGAACACGATAATACATTCATATCCATGACAATTATTAACATTTGAAGTAGCAATTAATGTATTCGAATTTTATATTTCAAAAACTGTGAACTGTGAAGAAATAAACGAATATTCTAGAATTAATTGTCAAAAAAGTTTAAAATAAACATATCAATTAAGAAATATGAATGGTCAAGTGAATTAATCATGTATGTTGAAAGTCAGTCATCATGATACATGCTAAAGTAAGTAAAATACTGCTTTCATTTAATATAAGAGTACAGTTATCATTTTTAAACTTAGTTTATTGAATATCATTTTCAACAGCTTACATAAAACGCTGATTGTAAGAAATATCATTTTAGTACTACTACTAAATATTTTATCATAGATTAGTTAATTTGTTTGTGTACATTATCCCGCAGGTATATCTGTATTAGCGACTTTTGGTATGTGTTTTCTCCTTTCACATTTTTGTCTTTCAGATAATAAAGTAGATGGAAACTGCTAATCAATGTAAATGAAAATGTGAATGAAAATAATTTAGAACTTTACGCAGACAAATAAGATTATTTAGCGCCATATATAATGTCAGTCACTTTATTTCTCTTATTCTATACTATTTGGAGGCATTATATCACTTAGTTTTCAACTATATTACAAAAATAAACTGTAAATTTTTTAATTAAAACATTTACTCTACTCATGCTGCTGCTGTTGTGTTAAAGAAAGATCAATGTAAAAGGTACACAGTTCAGTATATCATTTAAACATTTCTGCATAGATTTTAAAGCTTTTATATGTGATAAATCGAAAAAAAAAACTGTCATGCAAGTGATAGTTAATTAATTACAAATAATCAAATATATGTGCTGTAATAATGCTTTATATACACATGCAAACCAATCAATAACAAATGCTAAAATTTCATGTTCAACAAAACAAATGGTTTCTTACAGTTCCATTTTTATATTACATTAACAAATAAACATTGACACAAAGAAAAATAAAACCTAACCCAAATGAATGAAATTTAGCAATCAAAAAGCTTTATGAATTATAATATTACCAAAATTAAAATGAAAGTTGTCAACATAAATGTGATTTAGTAAGAACAAAATGCTGAACAGAAGATATATTCATACTTTTTCTTTTTGATCGAGGTAAGGGGTTGATGTAAATTGAAAAACAATCAGAACTAAGTCAGTCATTTCTTTGCTTATCAACCATCCTGTCGCTTACTTTTGCCTAATTTTTTTTTGCCTAATCGAAATATTTTTAGAAAATGGTCAAAGTAATGATTTATCATCAATTGCAGAGGAGACAACGCTGATAATTTTTATGTGGTTTACACTGAAAGAAATAAATAACTGGAAAGAATAAAGGACAAAAAATAACCATATTTTATGTAACATTTGTTTGAAACTATAAAATGTATGTTTAGCAATGTGCATTCCAACTATTAAGTTAATGGAACTTTCCTAACGTATTATATGCTAGTCTTCAAATGATTTAATGATTATAGATAACTGGGTTTTATAGGCCTGTCGAATTGCATTTTTATTTTTTTCTCCTAATTTATATACAGTTGAATGTCTTCTCAGTATATATATATATATATATATATATATATATATATATATATATATAATCTAAAAAGCACATAAATCTAGATGTCCAACTGGTCAACAAAGTCATAAGAAATGTGAATATGTTGATTAGACATTAAAAGTAATGACAAGTGAACTTAACATATGCAAGTAATGTTTATATATATATATGTCTGTGTGTGTGTATGTATGTATGTTTACAAAGCTATTTTGAAAGTTTCGAATAATTTATGGTTGTAGGGAACGGCACATACTATTAGAAAGATCATGATTATCATTAACTGCAGATAATTTGTTTGAATCATAAATAAAACATTGGTTTTCAATATTTATTGGTGAAGATTGCATGTGATTCTCTGAACTATGTGCATCATTTAAAACATTTTTCGATTGTATTGTACAAATTGTTTTAGTAAGTGGTTCGGATATTTTAATAAATGAGTTAACTGAATTATTAGTTACTTGTGAAGTGACACTTCTGATTAGTGAAGGGCTGACTGGATTTTGAACTTTATGATCTGATGCTGTGCGAGATAACTGACTTCGTTTAGGATCTAACATATGAAATGTTGTTGAGTTGGACAGTGAATACTTTTGTTTCGAATCATTTTTGCTATCAGTCAAACATACATCAGGTTTATTTTCGCAATTTCTCGAAAAGTTCAATGAATCTCTAGCTTGAGGATACTTTTGTACATCAGAATCTGAATCATCTAAGTGATCTTCTGAATCGTAAGGGTATCGAACCACCGGTATCACACCGTATTTGAGGTGAATAGGTGATTTGGTATTCATCATATAATTTGGTAACAATTCATCTCCGGAACTAAATAATGGTGGTGCTAGTCGACATTTAATTTTATAGTCCATTTGCTGCTCTGAGGCATTCATCGATAAATCACTTACAGGTTTCTGTTGTAAACTGATAGTGTTATTTTCTTTTTCATAAATATTACCATCATGTAACTTCGCATGAAAATTAGGAATTAGGTCATCATTTTGATAATAATATAATTTTGTATTATTTCCTAATCTGTCGCTGAGAGGAAAAATTTGTCTAGGTGTAATATCATTCTCTTGTTCATTTGATCCAAGCGTACTGATTTGTTGACTAGTTTGTTTTCTGTTATTATTATTATTATTATATTTATTATTGGTACAGTTTGTAAAATTGCAATAAATTAAACTATCGGTATGTTTAAAGTGAGATGAACAACATTGATCAGGATGGTTTATTGAACTGTTGATAAATCCATGAGATAAACACGTGACTGCCGATGGAGAATGCGTCTCCATTTTACTGGTTATTATTTCAGGACTATTTAGAGGAAATGAGTTTTCTGTACTAGTCATTCGACCGCTTGAACTTGAATTAGCTTTAACTGATTGATTTACAATATTGTTATTACTAATAATTTCATTATCATTACATAAAATATTTTGATAGTGAAGTAATTGTGATATATCGTTTTGTTCATTGTTACAATTGGGACAATGCTGTGTGAGATGACTAGTTGGACTATTTGGTTGTTGCAATGATTGTAAATAAGGAGTGAAATTCTCTCTGTCCGTCCATTCCGATATAAAATTCTTCATAGGTTTACTTGAATATGAATGATTCACTTGCATTTCCGACTGACATACAGTTTCATGATTGTTATCATCGACTGTAACATTATATGTGGAATGTCGATCACAGTAGGTTGGATTGTATAATATTCTAGAAATGTTGTTAGATTTAAGTTTCTTCTTGAATAGTTGCTTTCTGTGACATAAAATAGCTATAGCAAATATACAACTAACAATTATACACAGTACTGCAGGGAGTAGAGCAGAAAGATAAATGTGAGTTGATTTCGTTTTTGGTGAAACAGACAATTCATTGAGTACACTTAATATTTCGTCATTGATTACAATGCTTGAACCTTAATTTTAAAAAAATGGAAAGATATGGTTTTTAGATAAAAGAATATAGAAATCTATACATTAGTATCGTATTTCTATTATTTATAAAAAAATTTCTATTTTGTTGTGATACCTTTTTGACTAATTGTAGAGGGTTAGTTTACAATAATAATTAACATCGAAAATAATGATCACGAATACGTTTTGTTGTGTTAAGGTAACAATAACTGACGTTTGCTATCAGTATCTATAATGCTTTACTTATTGACATAAACTTAATACTTTTTATGTCAATCAGTCAGTCAGATGCAACGTAGAACTTCGTACGTAAGTACATCAGTTCATGTTGCAATACCACATCAGCACAGAGAAATAATTGTCAATTTAAATCCAATATTAGTAGAGGTAGTAAAGGTATCAGAAGTAATCGGAGAGGTTAGGATTAAAAGATATTATTCAAGAAGTATGATTCAGTGAGAAAAGTTTAGAAAGTCAAAACTAGAGGTGTTGAAGAATCCAGAAGATTAGGATTTGAGAGAATACAGAGTGGATGCACCTGCGCCACTGCAAACGATTTTGAGCCACGTCATTCAGGGTATCGAACCATCGATAATTGTCGTCTCGCGGACACCAAAGAGGTAATTGACAACTACCGACATGGCTAAGTCTACTCGTCAATGACTTCATGGATTTCTGCCATGTTTTGGTTTGGCCGCCGCTAACTTTCTTCCAGCCTATTCCTACACTACAAAACAAAGCTCGTCGAGGCAGTCGGTGGTTAGGCATACGCAGCACATGACCCAACCACCTTAACTGGTGAAGTTTCATTACTTCATCTATTGATCTGCCATTCCTACCTAGCACCCATTTCCTAATAACAGCGTTGCTCACTCGGGTGTCCCACGATATACGAGCGAATGCTTCGAAGACACCTATGATCAAAAACCAGTAACCTGCGAATATCTTCTACTCTCACTGGCCATGTTTCACAGCCATAAAGTAAGACGGAGCGAACTACTGCACAGTACACAGTCAGCAGACGGATATCTCGCCTACGCCATAAGTGACGCAGGTTGTTGTTAAAAGTAAAGTAGAGCTTTTAGGTAATATAATATACATAATTCATTAGGATCAGAATCCGTAGTTCTTAGCCATCGTATTCATAATAAAAGCCGACTGTTCTGGATAGGAGGATCATATGTATAGTATTGAGCCAGGATGAGACAATCTTTTTAGTTTACTCTGATTTAAAGTGATTCGTCACCTAATATCACTGTGACCAAATTACCTAACTAAACTCTGATCTGTGATTGTTAAAAGATAAGTTCTAGAAGTGAGCAAAATCTAAATTTTGGTGAATCTATCTTTTCTTACGTAGCAACAGCAAGAAATTTAAATGCATCGAATAGCTAACCAGAGGGTGTTTAATCCAAACAATCTTTAGATGTGAAAATATTGAGTTTGTGGAGCAGTTAGGATATGTTGTCGAATAGTAAATAATAACCGTTTCTACATAAAACCTACAATTTATTCTCTGGTGAATTTTAGACAGATTAAAATTGTTACCATTATGTACATTTTCCGAGCTATCATAATATTTTATTTAGATAGGAACTATTCAGTCATTAGGGCATGAAAAGTCGATAAGACAAGGAAAAGACGCAAGCGAGAACATTTAAGTGCATGAACAAAATCTGTGAATAGAATGTTTTTATAAAGCTGTGAAAATATTATCTCCTGAGAAATTTATGATTTACAATGCAGACTCACTATGGCTAGGAGACTATTGAGGTCAGATCGTAATGTAAGCTACCATTTCCATCGAACTCTATAAACCCTTCATAATAATGCTATTTATTTGCTCACGGGAGAATACCGTTTAGAGGTAGTCCTTACAGATCTATCCAGTTGTGACCAGTAGGGCTTAAGCATGTTATTGAATGATGGTAGCACAATATGGCTGAATTAAATACGGACTCGATGGCCTAAATTTTGAGCATTTGCTGAAAGTCCTGAAGGTCCTGGTTTCGATACTTAGTAGGATCTTGGACGTGCACCGTTGAGGAGAACCGTATAAGGCCGAACGAATCATCCAGTGCTTCATTGGCTGTCTAACTATACTTAGTCCATTATTGAACCTGCATGTAAATACATCAAAATAACAAAACAGACATCATTAATGGACCCGGATTTAGTATCTTGTGTAAATGATTACCATCCAATGTATACGGTATGACAAAGATAAGGATAAAAACTTAACCGGAAAAAATAAAATATCACTTGGCCTTCAAATTAAACGGCATAAACTAGAATTTAAGTGCGTAAGCACATACTGACTAATGACAACGAGATAACTTCTAAAACTAGAGTTTTACTCGATCTGTATTTTACTTATGTGATACTTCAGTAATGAGCATTATCAAAAAACCTTATTCAAATATATTCAAATATTACTATTTTGTAGCAAGCTTAAATAAAATAAAGGATTGCCTTAAAGATAAACATAAATTTCACTAATATCATACTGCGCCAAAAGAAAAATCTAAATCTATTTCTGAATGACCTACTCTTTGGTTTATGTTCCATAGAATTCATTTGCGAATTTATTACATCTCTTTGACCAGAGTAAATGCTTGAATTATCATTGAATATCATCACATTTATATCATTCATTTTTTGGTGAATCTTTCCATTTCCACTTGACTTGTTTACTCGTTTCTTTGGTTTGAAAGTGTGTTTTTCTCGGAGTTTGATTGAATTTTTTGAATCCTCCAGACGAAGAGTATTATCCAGCAATAAATTATGTACTAAAAAAAATATAAAAATCATGAAACAAATTGGACAAATGTTCAAAAAACTGATGATGTTTTTTTTCTAGAAAGACGAAACTTAAAGCAGGAGAGATGGATTCCACTATGGATTTTTATCGGCAGGATGGCTACTGAAGTGCAGACAGATAGTGTTTCTTCTTATTTCTCGAACCAAAGATGGTTCTGAGGTTTGATGTCAAGTATTATCATCAAGCCTGAAATGTTTGGATATTTCAGCCACTATTTTCAATGTCAATAGGTTCATTATATGACAAGACCACTAGACAATTACATCTAGTGGTGCTCCCATCCAGTTACGGTTTATCAATGGAAACTCAGATATCTACCCGGAGGCTAGTCATTTGTGAGTACATGATTATATTTCAATTAAACGATGTCTGATTATACATTACTACGTAGCTTCAGACTAAAAAGAACGAAGTGTTCTGTTTCTTTTGATTTCCTGTGGTTTTCAACGTAACATTATGAGTTAGCAGTTGTAGATGGACGGATTTTACATTTGAAACCTTAAAGGTTTGTGAACTGGTGTAAAGTTGTTTTAAGCACAAAACATAGAACACATACAGTAAACAGATCAATTTCAAAAAGGTAACCAGAAAAATAGCTCATTTATCACTTACCACACGTATATCTTAAGTATAGATAGGATTTCGCACACGAAATTTGTTTAAGAAGAGTAGATTTTTTCGAATTAACTCGATAAAACGACTCAAGCACTAGATTTGGACTAACGGTACATGTTGAATATCCATTACATTTATTTGAAATAATTGAGATAGAGTCAACTGAAGGACAAGGAACTTAGAAGCAAAAGAAAAGAAAAATAAATACATATTCATAATGATTATTCAGTGTGTAGATAGATATATATTATCATTAATTCAACGTGATACTTAATAGCTAGTGTTATTTATACTTCTCTAAAATTAGCTACTTGTCTTCTAAAATTGTTGGTGTATAATAACGTGATTGATGTTGTCATCACTTCTTTGAGGAAAATATTTCACTAATTAACAATGAACAAACTGTTTTTCGCAGAAGTATAGTAAACCTTTTGATTACGAAATTCCATGTATGCGAAGTGAACCTATGACCTATGGCACTTGTCGCAAATATTTCGAATAGATAAACTATTACTGATTGATTGATTGATTTCATTGAATCTGCAAGTTAATAATCGAACGTAATTCAACCATACAGTAGAGTATCGATTTCTGCAGTATCAGAAAGCACTAGATAAATTGTGTGAAATAAAATGAAAGTTGCAATCACAATCTATTTCTGGTTCGATTAAGGGTTAAATTTAATGAACTCTCAGTTTTTTTCAGTGATTTAACACTAGTTAACATGTATCAACAGATCATAAGCGTCATGATTCATTCAAGTCTCTTACTCAGGAAAACTAAGAAAGTTTATTTTAAGACGGAAAGTTCTCTGATAAGAATGCATCAATAAAACTAAAAAGATTATTTTTTCCGAATGCCTATTTAAAAGTGTTTTACCTTATCTTAGTTATTAACAAAATTTAGTGTTACGCTGTTAAAAGAAAGTAAATAAATTAGGTTCTTACAGGATACATATTAGCTAGCAGTTATATTATTATTATTATTATTGTTATTACGGTAACATATTATAATACGGTCATTTTTTAAAATAAAAGAATTCATTAGCAAAACAGTCTTCATGAATGGACAGAATTGTTGCACATAAAAATCATCAACAGTATGATTTATAACAAAATGAGTTAGTCATGTTATTTAAACTGAGTCGACAACAAAATACGAAGACTGAGGTTAAATTGTCATCTAATGTTGAAGAAGGGTTGTATGTAACACAAACACAAAGATACTTAGAACTTTAAAGTATTTCGATAGCTATGTTTACCTTTAGTTGCTCATTAAGAATTTGAAAGATTCACTTATAAATGACATTAAAAGAGTGTTATGATGTAACTTTTTACGGTTCCCAGGGTTAATGATGCATTTTAAAGACTACTCTGAATAGATTTTTATGCTGTGATTTTATGAGTAATTCGCATCAAATATCCATGATTTTAAATATTTTGTTTTGCTTTGCAAACAAAAACAGAGTGTTTTTTTTATCTGTAATCATGCAACTGATGCTATAATAGGCTTGTATTTGCCGGAATCATTCGCAGCACTTGTCTTTAAGGTTGATTAATATTTTTTGCTTAGATTGAAGCAACTAATTATTTGGGATATGTTTTAGTGATATAAACATTGATATATTTTGTGACTAATTAATAATTTTTCCCATCTAACAATCGTTTGAAATGAACTTGCAAGTCTTTTTTTGCTTTAAGCAGAATAAAAAGCGTTATAGCACGCATTTGAAATAAATATTTATACAAATTTGTAAGCTGAATAAACTATCGTTTGAAAATTAGTTTTTTTTTTCAAGTCTTACTAATTCATGTCCATTCATATAACAAATAAAATAATCAATCCTATCACATGTGTCCATTTTACTAAATAATGAATAATTAATATAATTAATCATAAAATTTACTTTGAAAGTGCATGAACAAAGAGTATATAATGTAAACATTCTTCTACAAAATAATGAATGCATGTTTATTATGCAAATTTCAACTGTATCCCAACAGAGTATCTATCTATCAGTGGGAATTTTGAATACTGATAATGACAGACTAATAATGTAGAAAAAAAATTAATAATTTCTATCACAAATTTTCTAAAAAGCGAACCAAAAACAGTGTAAAAAGAAAATACCAACAGGTATGCAGTTGTTGCTCATTAAATATTTCAATTATTATTGACACAAAAAAATTGCCTATCTTTATTTAGTTCATTAAAACTCATTTGTCAGTTTACAGTTTTATGTTTTATTTCCGTTCCAATGTTTAACACTGTATAATGACTAAAGAAACATTTAACATTCCAGTAATCTAAATACGATAAAAATGTGCTTAAAATTAATTAAATTCTTAATTGTGAACAATTACTATCTAACCTGTAATTCAGTTGGATTATAAAATTTGAGTAGACATGAACCCAAGATTTATTATCAAATCACAGTTTGCGAATCATAGTAACTTAAATATTAAAGAAAATATTGCTTAACATATGCTCCAAAATTAAAACTAAGTAGCCATAATACTTTGTGAAATTTTTTTCAATAGACATTTAACTAAAAAAACATTTATTTTGAATTGCTTCTTGGTTTTCATTTGGAAGTGAGTCAATATTGTGTTATTGGTTGATTCATTGATATAAATAAATTAATAATACACATAATTAGTATCTATGTAGATTGTTTCATGTGATTACTTTTATAACTGTTCATAGTGATAATACAGTCAGTCAGAGAAGGTACAGACTTTTTTGATTTTAGCAAATTCGCACTACGGTGTTGTGAATATTGTTAAGTTACACACTTTTCGAAATCATGAATCGATCAATGTTAGACCACCATTAGAAACCTGAAAGCACTGGACGGCCGTTTCGTCCTGGTATGGGACTCCTCAGCAGTGCGTATCCACGACTCCTGCACATTGCAGGATTCGAACCCGGGACCTTCGGTATTGTGCGCGAACGCCTAACCATAGGACCACTAAGCCGGTATCTAACGGTGTTAATGTCTAACTTGATCAAATTCACGGAGTTGCGCAACTTCATACACAGTCTTCGGTAGACACTGCCTACACCCGAACAGGTTGAACTTCACTGGTCACGTCTTCCCACTAGAACTTGAAGAAGATTCCTTACGAAGCTAGTTAGACATTAACACCGTTGGATACCGGCTCAGTGGTCCGATGGTCAGGCGTTCGCGCACAATACCGAAGGTCCCGGGTTCGAATCCTGCAATGTGCAGGAGTCGTGGATACGCACTGCTGAAGAGTCCCATACCAGGACGAAACGGCTGTCCAGTGCTTTCAGGTTTCTAATGGTGGTCTAACATTGGTCGATTCATGGTTTCAAAAAATGCTTAGCAAATTTGACAAATTATATCGGAGCTTCTCGTAAGAAACACTAATTCAGTCAAACGTTTTATTGTTGGTCTATTGATTAAACGCAGTCGTTTAAATTTTATGAATACATCTTTTTAGTTTAACTGACATGTTTATTAATTATTAAGAAATTATAAAACATTGGTATCAGTGTTAACTTATCAATTATCTGCACAGATTGTGCAATGAACTGAAAAGAACGTATAAATAACCTAAGAGACTTTAATATATGCCCTATGATTCAACAGTAGTAATAAGGTAAATCAATGTTTATGTGAAATATGGGTGTTATATATATATATATATATATATATATATATATATCTTTTATGTAAATAAATTTTATTCAGAGTAATCATATAGCTTATACGCTCGATTCATTTGATAACAGTATTGCTTCAAGTGAACCTTAAGAAGTTACATATAATAGATTTTAGTTCAAATTTTCAATAATTCTCAAGTAATCAATTGAACAGCTAGTTCAAACATAAATGAAGATCACGTATAAAGTTTACATGATTATTTGATATAACTTCTTAGCCGTATGTTTTAATCGACAAATTAACCGTACTCTGAAAGGATTCAGTTTCATATTTTGGTCCACTAATCTTAACTAATCACTAAAGGTTTGTCTAAAGTATCACAACCACAGGGATGTTGAATTTGTGAAAAGAAGAATATAAAAGGCATATTTTAGGACTTGTTACAAACCACACACAGTTGATTTATTTGCTGAAAGTTTCATTTAGGGAAGTTGTGGACCTGCTGGAAATATGCATTTTTAATCTGGCGCCTCATTCAACTGTCGATTCACCTTCCTTTTGCAAACTTAATAACTAATTTATTCTCTTGAGGATACATAGTAAACATTTGTAGGATTCAAAAAAATATTTAGACTTATGACATTTCTTGATAACTTCATTTAAAATAAAGTTGTGGTAAGAACAGTATGCTCTTCTTTTGTGACAAAATAGGAGGTTTAGCCCTTTCCTCTGCAAAATCACTTTCGAACATGACTGCTCGCTTAAACTCAACTCACGTTTAAATCCCATAACTTTTTATTCAAAATAAACATCAAGTAATATTGATTTACTCGTCGTATGATGATAATTCATGCACAAAGAAGGATTCAAACACAGATAACCATAATGCTGACAATTTTTAATGCATGACAGTTAAAAATGATGCTTTATTCTTCTCCTTTATCCCTTCAAATTTTAAGTATTGACTCCAATTATAAAGCATCCTGAATATATACAATTATTTAGATACTTTACAACTAAGGTTGAACTCATCTGTGAAGTAGTGGATTGCGCTACGTATATCAAATATATTATCTCTGTCTTCAATCATTTCTTACACCAACCAACTAGTTATAGCATACTTTGATATCAATTAAATTAAATTTATCAAAGAGAACAATGAGATACTAACATTGAGTGCTTATTGCTTAAGTGAACGATTCAAATGTGTGTTTTCAGTCAGTAGAGAAAACACTTTGCTTACGTTTTTCTTACATTACTGTCTAATGCGTATAAAATCTGTAACAACAACAAGTTGTATCATTTGTACACACACACACAGTAAACTTTATTCGATTATGTTTGTTTGTTTGTTTTTCTTCTACTAGTTTGAAGAAAAACATATTGTTACACAGATTATATTTATGTCAAATTAGTCAGTTCTATTCTATGAAAGAATAATGAAAGAAAACTATTCACTCTGACTCATCCTAATTAAAACATTGAAATAATAAATAAATCAGTAAGAATACAAGAAAGTAGAATATTTATTTGTTGATTTCTCTCA